CAGACGTAAGGCCAACTGAAAGGAAATTAACCCAGAAGACCACACAGACAAAATCACATAGAGCAAAGAGGTTTATTGCCAGAAGAGCTGACAAGGCCAAGTTCTCACAAGGGGAAGAAGAAAATGTCTGTCTTTCAAGAGAACGCTTATACAGTGATGAGGCAGGAGGTGGGAGGTGCCTCACCTGCCCCTCGTGTACAGTCATGGAAGGCTGAGCTTTGGTCTGGGAGGGAGTGTTTTGCTGACTCGCCTTCCCTCATTTGTTGTTTAATATGTACAGTAGGGGCAGGGCATATGGGCAGAGGTACCTTCTTCTAAAACTACTTCCTGCTAAGAGGGGACAAAGTAGTCAATAGGGGAGACCAGGTACTGTACAAGAAGTAAACCAAGGTCATGACTGTTATGAAGATGTTACTTGTCCAGAGCAGGGTCCTCTGGTTCCGATGACTGGAAGAAGACTGGGTCCAATCTTTTTCTGAAACCTTCCATAAACACAATAAAACTTTCTTAAAATGCTTTGCTCTAAAAGGAACCAGCTATAAAGCTTATATAGGAAAATGTCTTCAATGGAAAATGGTCCATCAGAGACAAAGAAAAGGACCCAGGAAATGTCTATACATTCAGAAAAAAACTTTGAAACCTCCTTTATAAGATTGGGGTGTATTTCTACAGAATGGAGCAGAGTAAAGGAAACATCAATGACTGACTCACAGCAGTAAACAGAGAGAAGAGCCCTTGTTAGTTAATAACTCAGAGGTGATGATGGGAAAGGATGGTAAGGGATGCGCCAAAGGTTAGCTTCTTTGACTCCTGTATTAAGACAAGGAGCAGAGCCCCTAATGGTGGGGTCTAGCCATTTTGACAAGTAAGCAACCAGCACAAATGAGGATCCGATCTGTTGACCTAAAACTCCCAATGCAAAACCTTGATTTTCAGTTACAGAGAGAATGGGCATCAAAGATCTGGCAGCCTGAAGGCAGAGGCCTGTAATAAGGCCTGTTGAAGCCTCCTAAAGGGAGAAATAAGAGAAGAGGGGGATAAAAGGGGTTCCTCTGGTAACCCTCCAGCTGCTTCATATAAGGGACGAGTTAGGAGGGAGTAGTTGGAGATCCAGGACATAAGATAGCTGGCTAGACCCAAGAAGGAGAGAAGCTCAGATTTAGTGGAGAGGGTAGGGTAGTTAGTAATCAGCTATTTCCTGGGGGTAGTAATAGCCCTGTGCTTGGGAGTAGGCTGAACTCCCAAATAAGTCACAGACTGCTGGATGGCCTGTATTTTACTGGTGAGACTCAGTACCCCTGGGAGACCAGAAAGTTAAGAAATGTTACTGGATGTAAATTAACACAATAGCTTGGTGGGACTACATTGGAGAATATCATCTATGTATTGGATAAGGATGAATGGTTCTAAATTTAGGTCTCTTAAGTCCCTTGCTAAACCTTGGGGACTATCCCAGAACCCCTATGGCAACACAGTCCAGGTAAGCTGAGTTGAGGTGTGGGTAATTGGATCAGCCCACATAAAGACAAATCCTGGGAAGAGAGAAACAAAGGGATAGTTTAAAAAATAAAAAAAGGCATCTTTTAAGTCCAACACTAACTAAAAGGCAACCATTACAGGGATTGTGGAAAGCATCCTATAAGGGTTGGGCAGGATGAGATACAAGGGAATAACAGCCACATTTACAAGGCGAAGGTCCTGCACAAGGTGAAACAAGCCATTAGGACTAGTTACCGCTAAGATGGGAGTATTATAGGGAGAATTAGTGGGACGTAACAGCTCTTTTCTTAAGTTTTGAACAATCAGTTGCAGTCTCAGAAGACTGCAGTGAGGGAGAGGATACTGGGGCTGTGAAGGGAAGTGTCAGGGGTCCCTCAGGGATATGTGAATGGGCGGGAGGGGTGGCGAATGATGCTGATGCTTCGCATCAGAAGATTTGTGAGTGTCCCATACCAACTGGGTCCACTTTGGAGGGTGGGAAAGAAAAGTCTGAGTCCCTGAGGCCTTCACAGCCCCCTGAAGTGATATTCGGAACCTGGCTGCCAAGATTTTGTCCTCTGTGTGGCCCAGTGGCCTGCCCTAACGGAAACCCGAACCTCCAACTTAAGTAATCACTTACCCTGGGAGTAAAAACAAATTAACTGGTGTTGGGTGGATAGGTGGCATTCCCTTAGAAGGAAGCCAACTCAGCAGTCTTCTGGGTCAGCACAGGACTGCAGCACAGGACTGCAGGCTAGGTTTTGGGGCAGCTGGTCAGCCCTCCAGCCAAACTGGGAGGGGCAAATCTACCAGGAAACCTGAGTCATGTGCACCAATGAAAGGAAATTACCCCAGAAAACCACGTGGATGAGCAAAGAGGTTTACTGCCAGCAAAATTGATAAGGCCAAGTTCCCACAAAGGGAAGAGGAAAACGGCTCCAGTGTCTTTCAAGAGAACTCATACAGTGATGAGGCAGGAGGTGGGAAGGGCCTCACCTGAAGCAAGGGGTACAGTCATTGAGAGCAAAGCTTGGGCCTGGGAGGGTGCACTTTGCTGACTGACAGCAACATTTTTTCTATCTTTTTGATGTTTATAGTCAATACAATGTGTTAAACACCTCAAGTTTTGACAAACTTGTACTATGTAAATACTAACTAAATCAACATATGGAAGACATCTATCACCTCAGTTTCTTTGTGCTAGTATTCTATATGAGGATTAGCTTTGTTTTTTTCCCAGCCGAGGAGCAAGTGTTTCACTGGTTAGGAATACAGGGAACTAGCCTGCCCGTCTGTGTGCTTACTTACCAGATTTTAGGTGATGGTACACACGTCTGCAGAAGTAAACATTGCCTTGCAGAAGTTCCTGTGAGTTGATGTCCTTATTCCTATGGGACACCCAAGCATCCTGAGGCATAGTTAACAATTCCCAGATAATGGCTATTTACACTAGTGTAATAATACTTTCAGTGTAGCACACTAATCTTTATCTCTTCAGAAGACGCCAAAAGAACAGCTCAGTCTTGTGTTGTGAACTTTTCATTCTCACAACCTCCAGTTGTGCCACATCCACCAACATGTAGTATTTTTAGCCACTTAAAATTTTAGCCATTCTAAAATTTGATCAGATTTTACATTCCCGTGTGGCTTTTTTGTCCATCTACTACCTTGAGTGAAGGGTCCTCAAATCATTTGTCCAACTTAATTTTTTATCTTCTTCATTTATTTTGAAGTGCTCTTTATGTATTCTGGATAAAAAGACCTTGACCTTGACTGAGTGAATGATTTGCAAATGTTTTCCCCATTATGTGGGTAGTCTTTATATATTTTCTGGTTTTGTTTTTTGCTGCTATCATTTTTAAGTGCCACCACCATTTCTAAACAGAAAATCATCCCAAACAGAACTCCGGCCATTAGCACAATCCCTCCATTCTATCTCTCCAATATCCTAGCTGGCTTTGCATCTAGAAACTTATTTAAGGTATTTCATGTACGTAGTAATACCATATTTGTCTTTCTGTGTCTGGCTTACCTACCTTAGCATAACATCTCCAAAGTCACTCAATGTTGAACATAGCCTAAGAACTTCATTCTCTTAATGGTCACATGATATCCCACTGTCTTTATATATACATTTGTCAGGGGACTACTTTCACTTTGGGGGTACTGCCAGTGACCCTGAAATGAATATTGACATGATTTTTGAGTCTCTGCTTTCAAATCTTTTGTATACATCCAAGAGTAAAACTGCTGAGTCCTACAGTCTTTGTTTACTTCTGGAGGAAGAGTGTCTTTACTATTTTACATTCCTATCAGTAATGCAGAAGACCTCAATTTCTCTACAACCTAATGGGTACAAAGTGCTATCTCAATATCATTTTAATTTGTACTTCCTGGGGACAAATGATGGCGAACCTTTTCATGTGGTTGTTGGCCATCTTTTTACAGAAATGTCTATTCAAATATCTACTCATTTTTAACTGGCTTGTTCATCTCCATTAAGTTGTAGTGCTTTATACATTCTAGGTACTGATCCCTTATCAAATAAGTATGTTCTCCCATTCTTGTCACTGTCTTGAGAAGAGCCTGGCATATAAACTTTCTCAATTTTGATCAAGTCCAATGTATCAGTTTCTTTTTGTGTATGTTTGTGTGTGTATGTGTGATATACATGAACCTTTAACCAAATAGAACTGAGTCATTTGTCTCAACCTTCCTTCTAGTGTTTTTGTACTCCCAAGGTTCTAGTTTAATGTATCACCTTCTCTGCAATAGACCGATGAGCTACTCAATCTTGATCTAAAGTCAGCTTGAATACTTGTTCCCACTAATCACTCAGAAGCCTCTTTTATCATTGGATTCTCAGAAGAATCCTGGAAATAAAAAATTCTAAAGAGCCAACAAAATATATCTATAGAATGAAAGAGTCTTAGAGATACTCTTCTGAATATCTTTGAGAGTACTAGGTTAGAAATCTTCAAAGACCTAGCTTTGAGCTTCTGGCAAATGGCCTCTACTGAAAATTACCTCTCAACAACTAGACAACAGAGGGGGGAAATGTCAATTATTCTAATATCTATTAGTGAGCTTTTAAATAGTATTGTGAACTGTCTTGGGGTCAAGGTCTTATGGAAACATCTTTATTAAGGGAATCTGTAGTAACAGTCAAAGAACAGAAAAAATTGTAAGAGGCCAAGGAATTGTTCAGTTGTTCTGTTGGTTCCATGTGTCTTCAAAGAACCTCTGTGGGTATTATAAAGATACTTATCTCTGTTTCACTCCTCAATACATTCATAAGTCAATATTATGACAGACAACATTAAGGAATTAATTCAGTTCTTTCAGCTTCCAACAAATGGATTCCTACAGTTAGGAAAACTGCTTTCTCAGATCTCAGCGTGAGTAGCTAGGATTTCAGATGTGAGCCACCAGTGCCCCAGCTTTTATCAACTTCTTTAACTCATATGCCTTTGAATGTCCATAGTCTGATGAATTGCACTAAAGAGTCAAAACATCCAACATCCAATTAAAGTATTTTAGCCATTTTATTTAATAAATAACTTCAGTAAATAGCGTTGTAAAAAGTGAGTTAAAATTAAAAGGCACTTAAAACGAGAACATGAACAATAAGAAACAGACCAGCAATTGGCAGAGTGAGTGGGAAGCATGGCAGTCTGCTGCAGCACAGCTGAAGGTAAGACTTGCCTAGGTGATTGCTGCTGGATAAGCAGCATCATATGTTCAACTTCACATCTTCATGAAAACGCAAAATTACAGCTAAAACTTCAAAGAGAAAGTACTGATAAAAAAAAAAAAAAGGCTTACCCCTAAATTGCAAACAGATACATTTGAAGATTAGGAGAGGTGATTAAAAGCACCAAATTAAACTAAAAAATAAAAAAATCTAAAAGGTCCCCACAGTCAGCAAATGCTATATAAGTTATGGCCTTAATGTAAATAGTGCTAAATCAAGTACTCGAGCAGAAAAATTCCCAGGATTTTTATCCAAGGTTTGAATTTATAAAAAAGAAGGCATAAAAGTTACCAAGATTAAGTAACTCTTAAAATGGCACACAGGTTTTAAAGCTATCTGTTTTTCCTTCCTAACTCTGATTTCTTCCTATGGCTTTTTGTACATCAACTATTAATAGTTATTTTACCAAAAATTCTTAACATACTGTGTTTCAGCTATGTCAATCAGTCATGTCCAAATAGGCAGTTAGTGGAATAGATTGAAAACAAGCCAACACTAGCTAACAGGACTTGTACTTCCAATTTGGTGTAATTGAAAACTGGCATATCTGAAAATATGAAAATCAGTCTTAATGCATCATTAGGAGAGGCTAATCATACATCCTATTAGCAGAAACTTATGGTGCTCCTTCAACTCTTGGCCTTTCCATCATGCTAGAAATGTCAGTAATCCAATGGTAGTTGGATTTCACCATCCAGGAAGAAGAGGTCAAAAAGGCACACTGTGACCTTAGCTGACAAGGATAACAATCCTGTCTCAAGTCTTTGTCAGTCCCTGGTATGGATTTTAACACATCATTTTCAAAATTAAAAAAAAAATTAAAATTATACATATTATACATTTTCAAAACCTGCATATGAATAAAACCATGGCAACAGTGCCCTAAAGCTACCTTACTGTGACTACGAAAATTGCTACTTTGCATTCAGTGTTATGAAATCTGACAGGTAGGACTCATTTTCCCTCGTACTTCGGATTGACCACAGTTGTCACAGCACTCTTGTAAATAGGATTTTCACCCTAAAAAAAAAAAAAAAGCTTAATCATTTACCCTATTAAAATCCTATATTATTACATCATAAAGTTAAACATTACAATCATTTAATGAAGTCGTGTAAGAATTAATTTCTTAATTTCTAAAATACATTAATAATAATGGCTCATATAAAGAGGATAAGCTCTGGACTTCTGCTGCTAACCCTGTATCTGATAGGACTTCTTTCTTGGCTCCTTCCTCCACTGAAGGGTTGTTCTAAGAGTGTCCTCTATAGATGGTAAGACACTGCTGCCACCAGAGAGCCTCCTTTGCACGTATTTGAAGGCCAATCTTTTGTTTGCTGGTATTCTATTCTGCTTCACTGGGACTGACTGCACCCAGGACCACTTGCTTGCTAGGAAAGCTCTCTACCACCTGAACCAACATTCTTTGTCTTGTTGTGCTTTTTTCTTTCTTTCTTTCAAATTAGGGTCTCACATCTTTTGTCCAGCAGAGTCTCAGACCAAGGTCATTGTGTCACCACCTCCCAAGTAGATGAGCTTATAGGCATAGCCCACCACAGACATGCCTGGGTTTGAGATGCATTAACTCTGCCTAACAGAAATACTCTAAATCGGGCTGAGAAGGTGGCTCAGTGGTAGAGTGCTTGCCTTGCATGCATGAGGCCCTGGGTTCGATTCCTCAGTACCACATAAGCAAAAAAGAAAAAAGCCAGAAGTGGCACTGTGGCTCAAGTGGTAGAGCACTAGCCTTGAGCTGAAGAGCTGAGGGACAGTGCCCAGGCCCAGAGTTCAGGCCCCACGACTGGACCAAAAAAAAAAGAAATACTCTAAATCTACATGTAAGATGCTTGACCAGACTAGAATCTTGAGCCCTGCTCAGGAGAATGAAGCTTTTGAGCTCTTGTAAAGAAGTTACTGGTGCAGAGCTCCGCTTAGCCCAGTCAGTGCCAGAGTGCGAGTACCTCCACCAGTTCCCAAATTGCGGAAAATGTTAAATTACCATTCTTCCTCAAATGACAAAGATGATAATGGTGTTCAGCACCATATTACATCTAAATAATAAGAACTGTAGGCCCAGAAGTGACTCTAAGCCATCAATACAAGATTATTTCAAGAACCAAAAATGTACTGACAGTGATGCTTTAAGCATAAATTTAGCCACAGACCTTACTTCTGCCCTCATAGAGAACAAAGTTTGATGAATGACAGATATGAAAAGGGGAAAATAGGAAAGAAAAATAAGATTAGGTGTATTTTCATAGTGAAATTGACTACAGATAAATTATTGAAAGGTAAATAGTTATATACACAAAGTCAAGATGAGGGAATAGAATGGCACACTGATAGAATGCACATCAATGGAGAAATGCATGCAGTTCACAAGTTTTAAGTATGTGCAATACAGGGGGAAGAGTACGTTTTGAAGTTTCTAGAATGGAAAGACAACAAAGAAGGTCTGTATAGCAGCTAAGGCTGGATCCTGTAAGGCACCAAATGAGCCATGTGGTTTCAGCTCAGCAGCTGTGTGAATACAACTTAGACCAAGATTATCCCCTTGCCCTAGCCTCCAGTCCTTCACTCCTCAAAATACAACCTAACTAGTTGTTTCTGAACATGAAAGAAATCAGAAACCCTCAGACAAATAATCTATCATCTAGATGACAAAGTCATCAGAACGTTATTGTAAGCTCTAATTTTACCTGAAGCTAATACTTGTTATACATTTTAAAGTAAGTCAACAAACCAGATCCTAACAACTGCTTAGAAAGTTAAAGAGTGCATATACAGCAGACTCATTATTTCCACCCTTCTATTTCCACCTGAAGCTAGTGCTGCTTGCTATTCTTTCAAATGGTGGGATCCATAAAGTACCACTTAATTAAGCTTCTTTCAAAAATGCATTGGATAAGTGGAATTATTTTTGGCATCTTCCCAGCCTTCCTCTTCTCTAGTTGGTACTAGGACTTGAAGAAAGGGCCCAAGCACTATCCCTTAGCTTTTTCATTCAAGGTTGGAGCTCCTCCACTTGAACCACAGCTCTACTTCTGGCTTTTGGCTGGTTAAATGGAAGTAAGAATCCAACCGACTTTCCTGCTTGGGCTGGCTTCAAACCATAATCTTCAAATCTCAGTCTCCTGAGTAGCTAGGATTACAGACATAAGCTAATTGGTGCCCGGCTGTATCCTTATTTTGAGCTTTAAGAATTTTAAGGAAATGACCCCCCAAAAAAGCAAATATAAAGAAGAACCCAGCATGAGTACAAAATATGATTTTATATGCAAGAACTTACCTTTGGAGAACTTTGGTTTGCCATACACAAAAACTTATGTTTATTATTTCAAAGACCATCCAAACAAAAGTTTAACATGCAAGGTTAGAAGTAAAATTACACTGTCTACATTAGGCAGCAGCTTAAATGGAGGTAAACTAACATAATTTAGATTAGTTTCCATCATTCAGAATGCAATCCCACCCCACAAAAAAAAAAAAAAAGTATTCAAATCTAGAAGGCAGGGTTGTATTCTCTGATAAGGACCTCTACTCAAAAAACCATTCTTGACAGTGGTGACTTTAAATCATTTCGACTCTCTTACCTGCTGTTCACAATGCAAACTATGAGATTTAAAATCTGCACTTAAGTTTATGTAACAGCAAGAGATAAAGGACTAATTTTTCTAATGTGTCTACATGAGTCTCACATGCTAAAATAACTACAGTGCCTATTAATGAGAATGCAGTGTCTATTAATGACTAGAAAACTTTGTTCTACATTAGAAAAGTGTTCTATAAGCCAGGATGTACTCTTCTTTTTTGGGGGGGAGGGTGATACTGGACTTTGAACTCAGTCTCTCACGCTGGCACTCTACAATTTGATCCACATCTCCAACCCTGCTTTTAGCTAGTAATTTTAGGTGATGAAGTCTAATGAACTTTTCTGTCCAGGATACCTTAAACTATGATCTTTCAGATCACAGCCTTGAGAATGGCTCTAGATTACAGGTGTAAACACCAGCATCCAGTTTTACAACTTCTTAATTTCTACTTCATGGTTTTGAGAAAAGATAACCTGAGATAATATGTAGTCATGAACTTGCATGAAATTTTGTTACACAATAACACATAACAAAATTTTTACCAAACATCTGCCACTTGAGTTACAGGAAATGCTTATTCTAGATGAAAAAGAAACACTTCAGCCAAAATCTAAGTGAATGATATGACTACCAGGCATGAATAATAATTTAATGATTTCCTGCAAACTATCCTTAACATACAGGAAGGGTCTTGTGAGAAATACCTTGTGATTTGTTAGCATTTAACTGCTTCTGATAAAGAAAAAAAAATCCCAGTAACCAATGTATCTCTTAAATATGACTTTCTACAAAGTATCAGATAGATTAGTCTTAATTTAACTTGGTGAAGTTTTATGATTGCTTAATAATAAAAATAAGATGTGGCAAATTAGGATTCCTTGTATTATTGGTTATTCCTTTATCCTGTAAAATATAAAACCGTGTTTTGGCTTTTATCTGATCTTCCTTCCTTCCTTCCTTCCTTCCATCTTTCCTTCCTTCCTTCCTTCCTTCTTTTTTTCCCTCCGTCCCTCCTTTCTTTGACCCTCCAACTCACCCCTCCCTTTCTTGATTTTTTATTGTTTTTCAGTGCTGAGTAGCAAACCCAGAGCCTCCTTCATCCTTCTACTTCATCAGCTCTACTGCTGAACTCCAGCAGTAAATAAATAAGTGTAGCTGCAGTGTCGAGTTCCATGTAATAAAAGTGTAATAAAATGATTCCTCATGCCTTCTGGCACAGAAGTACTGTTTCCCTGAGTTACAACAAACTGCCAGAACTCTATATATTACAGTGAGTGATAACCTACCTTTCCCCAAACAGAAAATGGCAGCTTCTAAGTATGAGACTCCGAACTTTATATGGCAAAGCCTAGGAGCATGGACCCTGGAGTCCAACTGCCTGGATCTGAATTTTACTTCTCCCACTACCCAGTTATGTGAACTTAGTCCAGTTAGCTAATCCTTCTGTGCTTGTTTTCTATGTGTGAGGCAGGAATAAAAGTAGCTCCTATTTTCATTAAGAACATCGAGTATTGGTTATCAGTTTTTTATTTTTTTTGCCGGTGTTGGGGCTGGAACTCTGGACCTGGGCACTGTCTTTGAGCTCTTTTTTGCTCAAGGTTAAGTGCTCTACCACTTGGGCTACAGCTCCACTTCTACCTTTTTCTGTGATTTAATTGGAGATTTAAGAGTCCCATGGACTTCCCTGTCCAGGCTAGTTTTGAATTGTGATCCTTAGATCTCAGCCTCCTGAGCAGGTAGAAAGAATGAGAGGTATGAGCTACCAGCACCCAGCAGCATTAGCTAGTATTACCATAAACTACACTACCAATACCTTCATGTTCTACAAAGTATGGTGTTGATGAGGAAAGCTGAATTCTCCATGGGCCTATCATAATGAAATCAGCTGGAGAACAAAAGCAGGGTTCTGTCACTAGTTTGGAGAATTTCATTCTAAGTACAACTTTTTTTATGAGTTTTAGAAAGCTTTTCACAAAATTTCATATGTAAAGCAGTTTGAAATGATGTAAGGAAGAATGTGGTCCACTAGCTATAGAAGGGAAACATCATCCATTTAAGCTTGGAGAACAGGATGTAACTGTGGAATTCATTTTTTTTTTGAGATAATGAATCACTAGGCCTCCTCCCAAGCTATCCTAGAACTTTCGATCTTTCCTCCTAGATTCCTAAGTACTAGGATAACAGGAGTGCACCATCCTACCTAGGAAGAACAATGGAACTTTCAGCAAAGACTGTGCTTTGTTTCTCTTTCAAGTCTTTGTGTTAGCCAAGCACCAGTGACTCATACCTAGAAGCCTTGCTACTTATAAGACTACGCTCTAGAAGCTCAAAGTCAGACCAGGCAGAAAAGAAGTTTGCTAAGACTCCATTCCCAAAATTAACCAGCAAAATATACCACTGGAATCATTGCTCAACTGATTTGTAAGCCTATCAAACACAATACCCTAAGTTAAAATTCCTGTACTGACAAAGTTATTTTGTAAAAAATTCCCATCTTAGATTTGAAAACCATAATCATTCAATTGAAGACACACACACACACACACACACACACACAAGCACGTACGCGCGCACCCCACAGCTTCCAAGTGTGTACAGGAACACCACTGAACTCAAGGCCTGGTGCTATGAGGCAAGCTCCTAATCCATCTTTAGTTCATTTTGGGGGGGATAGGTTCTCATGCTACTTTGCCCAAAGTGGTCTTGAAATGGGATCCCTTTATCTCCACTCCTCAGCAGCTGAATTTTAAGTTATGATTGAGAACTTAAAAAAAAAACAAAAACTCAAAATCTTTCCAGAACTAGTAACAATAATATTATAGTTATAAACTACAAGAGATTACAGTATGTTCCATTTTTATAATTTCAAAATCAATTTCATATCTAATTTTTAGTACTCAACCCTAAAGTGTAACAAATCATTTGTGATATAAAGATAAGATTACCTCGTACTGTTGGGAATATTATAGCCACCCAACCCAATCCTGACACAGGTATAGGAACTGAACCTCAGGAGGTAAGTGGAATATTACTAAGTGGAATATTACCCTAGGCCTGTCTGATTACAAAGCACTAAAACAAAGCTGCTGCTTCTACATCTTCTCAATTATTTGAAATCTTTCTAAGCACCAAGTCAACAAGCAATAAGAAAAGCCACAAGACAGCTATAATCCAGACAGCTTTTTAAAAAGTAGCAACAGTGGTAAGAGAGACACACAGTGCAGTAAGGAAAAGATAAAAAAGTTAACATGCAAAGACACAAAGGGAAAAGAAATACGAACGGCACTTAGAGACCAGCTTTACGTCCATAGTTTGGATTCTTGAAATTATTTATAGGACTCTTGTAAATCGGGTTTTCTTGCTAAAGTAAAAGAAATAGTTTCTAATGATTTCATCAGAAAGAAAATTAAGTGTTTAAACACTAAAAACAGAACTTTTTTATTATTTCTACAATTCCTGAAATGCAAATACTTGAGAAATAGTAGTGACCTATCTGTAGTCTAGACCTAATGATACAATAATTACATATGATACTGGATGTTCAGTGTTTAGCACCTAGGATAAAAGAGACTGAGGATTCTCCATGCCTTCTTGTATCAAAAGATGAATACAGGAGAGCCATATGCCCAACTCTGAATCCATACCAGAATCCACTATTAAATGCTAGCACAAACTTTCCAGTCAAATTTTGTAAACTGCTTTCAAACAGCAACGTTTAATAAGATTTAATTTATATAGAATAAATTATACCATAAGTTCAGAGTTTTTTGAGTTTCAAATGCATACAGACAGAAATCATGTCAAGAAAATTTTGGTGTCCTCTTCTCTGTTCAATCCTTTGCTCCCTCCTGCCCAAGCAACCCTTAACCTGACTTGTTTTCTGCTGATTATTCTGGAAATGGAGTTTAACAGATTCTGTGGCTGGGCTGATTTCTCATCATGATGCTCCAGATCTGAGCCTCCTGAGTAGCCAGGATTATAAGTGAGAGTCATTGGCACTCAGTTTTATGTAGCTTTTTAAATATGGTACTTTCTTCTTTAGGTTCAGGGGTGGAGGGTGGGGGACTCACTGATTTGTTTGCTACTGGTAATGAGAGTTGAGATTCCACTCCACTTTATTAAAAGAGTAGATCAGCAGATTTAGTTTAAATCTATTAAAAATGTTCCAATTCAAATTCATTAGGGAATGAGTTATTTAAAGAGGGCTTTAATAAATAGTCTTAGCAATAAGAGGCACATTTACTTTTTAAGTCACCTTAATTTTTAGTTGCTTTGCAACTTACCGTGTCCCATTTAGCATTCATTTTCTCCTTTTCAAATTTAGCAAATTCCCGTCTGTCATGAATTATCATTAAAAGCTTCCAAATCAGCAGTAAGGCAAGGCCAATCAGCACAATTCCAGCAACCACACCAGCTACGATTGGAATGATGTCTGGACCAGTGGGGCAATCTAGGAGAGAAGGAGAAGGATGATAACCATGAAAGGTCGTGAGTAAGTACAAAGTCCAACCACAAACACAAAAAGCTGAACAGTCTTATATAATAAATAGTGCTTAAAACTCAAGGTAAGTGAGAACATACTATCTCAAACTGTTAAGAAGCTAACAAGTGACTTTACAACATTGTAGGATACATGATCAATAAAAATCATGGGAGTGGTACTTGTTTGGATTCCGTTTTTGTACGATTCAGGCTTTAAATCTGACTGGGCAGGCCTTCTACCGCCTTAGCCAGGCCTCCAGTCCTTCTTGCTATTTTTTGACACAGAATCTTGCTTTTTGCCCAAGAAGGCCTACACTATCATCTTTCTATTTGTATTTCCTGACCCAGCTGGAATAATAAGCACATGCCACCAATAGCTGGTCAGAAAAATCCAGGTATTTCCTAATACATGCAAAACATTTATTTCTAAAAGAGTGCAAATTTATGCCGGGTGCCGGTGGCTCACGCCTGTAATCCTAGCTACTCAGGAGGCTGAGATCTGAGGATGGTGATTCAAAGCCAGCCGGGGCAGGAAAGTCCGTGAAACTCTTATCTCCAATAAACCACTAGAAAACTGGAAGTGGCGCTGTAGCTCAAATGGTAGAGCGCTCGCCTTGAGCTGAAGAGCTAAGGGACAGCGCCCAGGCCCAGAGTTCAGGCCCCACGACCCAAAAAAAAAAAAAAAAGTGCAAATTTAGACTTTAAAATATCACTTAAAATCATGTCAAAATCCTCCAAAGTTTATGTATAATCATAGTAAAGTAGATTTTCCACTAAAAACTCTTAAACAAAGCTAAAACAATTCAAAAAGATCTGGAATATGGAGAATGTTCCATGTTCACAAATTAGAAGATATCCTGCTTTCACAGAGTCAACTATGCCTACTTTGGAACTCAAACCAGTCCCAATCAAAATCCTGGAAGAGATTTTGCAGGAATCAACATATCAATTCTAAAATACATATGGGGAGTAGAGAAATGGATAAATGATGGCCTAGAAACAGATGGGCTGATGGAACCCACATCTATGGCCAACTGAGGTTAAACAAGTGTTAAGAACACACACTGAGGGGCTGGGAAGTTGGCTCAGTGGTGGAGCGCTTGCCTTGCATGCATGAGGCCCTAGGTTCGATTCCTCAGCACCACATAAGCAAAAAGAAAAAAGCCGGAAGTGGCGCTGTGGCTCAAGTGGTAGAGCGCCAGCCTTGAGCTGAAGAGCTGAGGAACAGCGTCCAGGCTCAGAGTTCAGGCCCCACGACGACCACCACCACCACCACCCCGCCAAAAAAAAAAGAACACACACTGAAAAAAACGACAGTCATCTTTAATGGTGCTAGGAAAAAAATCAGACGTCCACATGTAGAAAAATAAAAATAAAGTCACAATGAATTCAAGACTTAAAGGGAAGACCTAAACGATGGAACTTTCAGAAGAAAATACAGGGGGTATAATTCAGGACACTGTAATAGGCAAGGTCTTTTTGGAAAAGACCATAAAAACATAGGAAATAAAAGCAAAACTAGACAAAACTAGGTTAAATTTCAAAGTTTTTGCATAACAAAATAAGTTAAAAGATAAAGAAGGAATTGAGACAATCTATAAGATGGAATAAAATATTAAACAAACTATACATTTAACAGAACACAAAAAACTCAAAAGCATCAACAGCAAGTAAGCTGTACTAGAAGGGTAGGGTAGTGGGAAATGGATGATGGGCATTAACAGCAGGCCAACCCTGGCAAATAGTTGACACACCATCTCAGCCAACAATCTGAGTGTGGTAGATCATGCTGTCAATCAAAGCTACCAGAGACATAGCTAGGAGGATCAGTCTGAGCTTTGGACCTGGGCAGAGAAAAATGTAAAATGCTACCCAAAAAGCACAACAAAAAAGAACACTGGGGTTGTGGATCAAGTGGCAAAGTGCCTGCCTACCAAGTACAAGCCTTATCTTCAAACTGTAGCCCCACAATAAATACAAGTACACTGAAAGTTTTCACCAAAGAAACAATGTTTGAGTAGCTATACTAAACACGATTTAAACATTATAAAGTATGTGCACACATCAAAACATCACATTACGTTAATCTGTAAAAACTTTTTTATATCAGTTAAGAAATTATTTAAGTGATAGATTTTAAAGAAATAAGCCTCTATTTACAAGATCACTCAATTTACACAAAAATAGAAAAAGGAAGTGGTATTGAAAATATTAGCCAATCATACGCAAAACAACCAAACCTTAATCCAAATTCAAAGATGAACTCATATAGCTTACAGGTCCTAAACTGTAAATCCAGGAAATATCAAACTTTAAACATTTACAAGCTCCAGTTAGAAAATGAAGTTCTTAATTATAAGCAACCTCCATAAAGAAAAAATGAGGTGGCTCAGTGGTAGAGTGCCCTGGGTTCGATTCCTCAGCACCACATAAACAGAAAAGGCTGGAAGTGGTGCTGTAGCTCAAGTGGTAGAGCACTAGCCTTGAGCTGCAGAGCTGAGGGACAGCATCCAAGCCCAGAGTTCAAGCCCCACAACCAACAAAAAAAAATAAAAGTAGAAGTGCCAAATGATCCAACATTCTCACTGGCATTTATGGAAAAAAATGAAATAAAAAAAATAACAACAACAACAAAAGGAACAGCACACAAAACATCCTGGGCTGGTAGTGTAACTCAGTGGATCACTCCTATGGACCTTCTTTCAATATTTAATACTGGGGGAGTGGTGAGGGAGAACTTGTGATGTTCAAAGACAGTACTAAGAAAACAGGACCTTTACAAAGTTTAGCAGTTTCCCATAATTAAGTCTATTACCTTTTCCAATATGCTCACAAAAGCTATATGCTAATGTAGAAACTTCAGAAAAATCTACTAGAAAAAGCTAATAAATCAAGATATAAACATATTTTATTTCCTGAGCAGCTGAACCAATTCTACACTTAACAATATCCTCGGGGTCCTCCCCCATGGTATAACCTGTTTTCACTGTATTTAACGTTGGTATAATTTGCGGAGGGGAAGGGAAAAAACAAATTGTTTAAATAGGGATACAGGTGGATCCATTGCTATGTTGAAAAACGAACTTTACAATTTAGGCAGGAGTGGGGCGTGGGGCGGGGGGAGGAGGATGAGGGGGGAGTGTAGTTGTGGAGATGGGAGGGAAGGGATGGTAGGGGAAAAGCAAAAGGAGGAGGTAACAGTGCTTGATAAGGAATGTACATATTATCTTGCTCATGTAATTGTAACCCCTCCGTACAGTATTTTCACAATAAAAAACATTAAAAAGAAAAACAATATCCTCGGGGTAACAGTGTTCACAATGTAATATACTCATTACCTTACTTACATAACTCCTAACTCCCCTGTTTATCACCTTTACAATACATTTTAAAAGAAAAAAAGAAGGAATTAGGCAAAAAAGTTGAAAAGTAAACAGTAGCTGGTGGAGAATCTGTTATCATAATAAAAATTTTAAGATTTGAGGGGAAAAAACCCCACAATATCGTCTAGCAAATTATGTTTTAAACCAAGTTCAAATTTAAGTATCATCAATTGAGGACTGATTGTCAGGCTTGATTCTAAGTGCCTTGAACAGACTAAACACTGACCAGACTAACTAGACTACTTATCTAAATATCTAAACATTCCTATCAGAAAACTTAAACTTGACTCTTGATTCCTTATTTCATGGTTAAAAAGTATTTTAAGTTTTGAAAAAAAGAAAAATCCCCTAAATTGTACCTTACAGAGTTGGAGTTTGTTTGCAGATATTAGGGAATCTGACAATAAGATGGATAGTCAAAGCAACATATAAAAGAAAATGAATGTATATAATTATTGGTTCTACCTGGAGTCTCCACAACATGAACAATGGCTTCATTATTCTCGTTCACTGAGTAGGTAAAGTAGAACCAGCAGTCATCCACATCCTTCTCCTTACAGTGGGTCACAGGATACACCTGGACAGGCTGGGGCAACTTGTCCCGATTTTCTACCTTAGTCAGGTTGAAATGTGAACATTCCTGTGCACACGTGTCTTTCTTTTCTCCTTTATTGAAGGCTCTGCACTGAACACATTCTCTGTCAAAACAAAGGATATTTAAATGTACTATTTAAGAAACATTTTGCATGCTAACCCTGTGACATTAATGAACCAAGAACAATGAAAGAGGATTTGAATAAACATGGAGGCAGAGTACGTTTTTGGATGGGAAGTGTAGATTCCAGCTTCCATCAGTAATCTGCATGAATACAGCTAATATTAATGAGGTGGCTGGAAAAGCTACAGCCAAAGGGGAAAGGGTACATGAGGTCTCAATCTGCATTCTGCCTCCAACAAAGCTGACTTAGGCAAACGGGCTGCCTTTGCTGACCATGTGAATATGCTCTCTTTGTAAGGGTGAAAGAACCTGCACTTTTTTTTGGGGGGGGGGGGGAAGAAGAGGGTCCAGTCGTGGGGCCTGAACTCTGGGCCTGGGTGCTGTCCTTCAGCTCTTCAGCTCAAGGCTAGCACTCTACCACTTGAGCCACAGCACCACTTCTGGCTTTTTCCTTTTTGCTTATGTGGTGCTGAGGAATCGAACCCAGGGCCTCCTGCATGCAAGGCAAGTGCTCTACCCCTGAGCCACCTTCCCAGCCCGAACCTGCACTTTTTATTTTACCTTTCACCTCCTCCTTAAAATTAGCCTGAGATCTAAGTATTTTGGTTCTGAACCAATCTGGGTAGATAAATCTTAGAGATTCCTATCTCCAGTAAAACAGTAAGATGCTAGAAGTGGGAAGATGGCTCAAATGATAATGGAGTTATAGCCCCATAAGTGGCATAGAAAAAAATAAGTTAAATTTTAATACCAATAATCAATGTTGTTAGACAATACTAGCAATTACATATTTTTTGACTAATAAAAATTGCTTGTTTCTAAAAAAAAACTACTTCCACAAATGAAATTTTAATAGAATTCCAATTAAATAAATAATAAAAATAAATTCAATAAACAGATCATAAAACAAGGTCTGTATTAAAATGATAGCATAAACCAGAACTTAAAAGTATTATTATTGGATCAATTATAATCAATCAAGGGTAAAACCTTTAATTTTGCTGAGTTAACATTGTAAGTTGGCCAGAAATATTCCTCAGCAGTAGAACAAAAGGCCCGCACCTGGTTTAATCCCCAGCACCATTAAAAAAAAAAAAAAAGGTAGCAATGATAATTTAATAAAAGTAACCACACAGATTCAATTATCTAGCAATTTCCTATCAAAATAATAGCACAGTTCTCAGATGACAAACATACACTAGCTAATGAGGAAGACATTTTTGGGGCATTTATTTATAGAACATACCAGCACTTGTCCCGGCTTTAGTGATAACTCTAATACATATTAGGTGAAAAAAGACAAATACAATTTCAAGTAATTAGGAAATGCTTACTTATGCTCAGCACAAACACCAAGGCAGGTCTGACACGTCTCACAAGTTTGACCTTGAAACTTTGGGTCTGTACACTTGCAGACACCACACTCACAGATGCCCCGGCCATTACAGATCTGTCCATTTACTGCAGTGCATGGACCAGTATCCAAAGAGCAGTCACATGCGCTCCCAGTGTAGTTGGGGTAGCACTCACACACACGACACCTACAAATTCCATTTCCTGCAATTATAAAGACCATTTCTCAAAATAATCGTAAGCATAAAATATCACAGCATTTACTTAAAAAGCAAAAGTAACCAACAACACATAGGAAAGTGTATCTAAGGATGGACTGACCCCAAATGCTGTCCCTTTGCCATTGGACTATTGAGTAACTCCTAATATTTTTACCATACTGGGGAAATCAGTCTGTAACAACTTACAGTGCTTTTTCTTACCTCCACAGATTAAGCCATTGGATCTATCACAGTTGAAATTATCACACTCGCAGAATTTGCCAGAATAAATTTCGTTTGTATTATCCCTCTTCCGACACACACATTGTCCACAGACACATTCTCCATTGTTACTACAGATTTCTGAGCTGTTCTCTTTCCTGCAGTAAGCATCCATGTCTTCACTGTTAACTTCATCTGTACTGCATTCACAATGTCTGCCAACACGACCCTCATTACACCTGAAGAAAGATTTCCAGTTGCAATGCCACAAAGTTATGAAGAAGAAACAAAACTGAACAATCTCTTGAACTACTAACATAGTATGCGGGAATGTTCATGATAAAAATCTATACAAAAAATAAACATAGTCACTTGCTTATAAATTATTCTTGCAGTATGAGGATTTTGACCTTTGGGCCTTGTGCTTGCTATTGCTAGGCAAGTGCTCTACCACCTCAGATACACCCCAGTTCAAGTGGCAGGGCACCAGTCATGCAAGCAGGAGAACTTGAGTATGAATCTCAATAACAGAAAGAAAAATAGCTATAAAATTTAAGTTAGGGTCTACATTCTACAATAACACCATTTCCTTTTTTTAATTTTACAACATGTAAAATTGCTAAAAAAATTATTCAAGAAATGCAAACTTAATGAAGTGCAGTATAAACATTCCTTTTTACTTCCTAATTCTATTTCTCAGATAAAGTCATCATTATTGCTAGGCCAGGCAATATAGGTGTGATTTCTCACACTGGTAATCCTGGCTACTCAAAAGGCTGAGATCTGAGGATTGCAGTTGATTGCAGTTTAAAGCCAGCCCAGGGAGAAAAGTCCATGAGATTCTTATCTCCAATTAACTGCCAAAAAGCCAGAAGTGAAGTGGCACTGCCAATGAAGTGGTAGAGTGCTACCCTTGAGCACAGAAGCTCAGGGACAGCACCCAAGAACAGCACCAAAAAAAAGAAAAAGGAAAAAAAATCACCCTTATCAGTTTGATATATTTCCCCAAACACTGTTCTATAAAATTTACAAGTGGCAGCAATTCCCAACTATGCAGCAGTATAAGGGGGTGGGGCGGATATAAAACTGCTTCTGAGAAAGAGTGGCTAAGGAAATTAGAGTAGGTAAGACAGTGATCTGAATTCCAAGGATACCCCCAAAGTTTCTATCTTTGTGATGAGTCTGAGAGGGGCCCTCCCGAGGAACTTGAAGTTCATTCAGATAGAAGCTGCAGGAAATTCTGTTAACTCACACAGCATTTGTATCACAGAAACCCCAGGAAGACAAAACATGGAGCACTGAAGTATGAATGCACAGAGCTTTTAGTATCAGCTCCACATAGGAAGCTAAACAGTAAGGTGAACAGCGGCAGTTGGACTAGGAAAACACCAAGAGAAACAGCTGATCACAACCAAATGAGTTAACACAATGTAGGAAACAGGAAAGCCTCAAGTTAAAAGGTAAGTGGGATCAGTAAAATCTTTAATTTCTTCTCTGCCACTGGCTGGGAACTGTAACTATGCTGCCACCTGCTGGAAAGAAGACAACAACAAAAGCCAGTTGAAAAAATGGGAGGGGGGGGAACCGTGGTGCCCTTTTATTTTTTCATAATTTCTCAGTTCATAATTCTCTCTCATAATTAAGGAAGAAATAAAAATCCTCCATGATACACAAAAGTACAACAAATTCATGACTACTAAGCTGGCACTGCAGAAGATAATTAAAGGAATACTACATACAAAAAGACAAATGAAAACAGAGAAACACAGGAAAGAATAAATCCTATTTAATGAGATTAGCAACATAGGAAAAAGCAAGCACTATAAAAACAAAATGAGCTGGGCACCGGTGGCTCACACCTGTAATCCTAGCTACTCAGGAGGCTGAGATCTGAGGATTTCGGTTCAAAGCCAGCCCAGGCAGGAAAGTCTATAAAACTTTTATCTCCAAGAAACCACTAGAAAACTGGAAGTGGCGCTGTAGCTCAAGTGGTAGAGTGCTAGCCTTGAGCTGAAGAGCTGAGGGACAGCGCTTAGGCCCAGAGTTCAGCCCCACGACTGACCAAACGAAAAGACAAGAAATATGACACAGATCTCAGTATCAACCCTGAATGTTAATTGTTTCTACTCTCCAATCAAAAGACTTTCAGCCAGGCACCAGTGGCTCAAGCTTGTAACTCTTACTCAGGCAGCTGTGAGATCTGATGATTGTGGTTCAAGGTCAAGCCAGTCAAATATATTTTAGAGAGTCTTCATCTCCAATTGACCAGCAAAATCCACAAATACACCCACCCTGGAGCCATCTAATCTCTGATAAAGGAGCCAAAAACGCATGGGGGAAAAGACAGCTTTTAAAAAAAAAAAGTGCTAAGAAACTGATTATCTATACCAGGAGTCTGTTACGGCTTACTCTGTACAGAAATCAACTATAATTGGATAAAAGCTTTAAATGTAAGCTTTGCCCCTCTGAAACTACTTCAGGGAAAACTCTGGAAACTATAGGCACAGAATGGCTTTTTGAATAGAATCCTAATTGCCAAACAAAAATAGAACAAGAATGGATGAATGAGACTAGATTAAATTAAAAGTTTCTGTATAAGTGTGGGAAGGTGGCTCAGTGGTAGAGTGCTTGCCTTGCATGTGCAAGGCCTTGGTTCGATTCCTTAGCACCACATAAGCAGGAAAAGCCAGACATGCAGCTCTGGCTCAAGTGGTAGAGAACTAGCCTTGAGCTGAAGAGCTGAAGGATAGCACCCAGGCCCAGAGTTCAGGCCCCACGACAAAAAAAAAAAAAAAAAACAGACAGGAAAGATCCTTAAACTCATCTAGTGGAATTGCAATGGTGATTGGAACAAATGATTTGTCCAAACTGAGGTTTCATATGCGTATACCAGTATTAAGACACTGCCTACAATTTTCAAAGGCACCATGCCCTCTGTCCTTCCAGTCCCCAGCTTACCTACAAGCTCCACACTCAAATGTCCCATTCCCTTCATGGCACTTGGGACTTTCAGGAATGCCTTCATTTTGGCATTCACATTCACAGATGAAGTGAAGAATAATCTCTACTTCTTCAGTAAAGCCCAGAGGCTTAATTTTAATGGTTTCAGAATTCTTACTGTTTCCAGAAACTTTTTCTGGACATTTGTTTGCAGTTATGCTTATTTCAAATTGAACCTGGAAGAGAAAAAGGAAACTAAATTAAGCTGCCAATAAAGCTGAATTTTTTTTTGTAAATGTATTTATAAATGAGCATTTTTTTTCTTTTCTATAGAAAATGGTTATAGGATATACCTCATCTCCTATGGAGATATTGGAACACTTTCTTCCATTTTCCCCTGTTCCATTCACCCCATTCTTGCAGTAGGATTTGTAATTTATCATTACTCCTTCTGGCAATTTGCTGTTTTCCAAAATGACTTCTGAGGAAAGGGACTAAAAGGTAAGTTGATTGTCAATAAGGAAGTCAAATAAAATACTACCCGAATGTAAAACACATGAGTACAATGAACTGTAATAACAATAACAACAAAAAATTTAATCCAAGCCTGCCTGAAGGATTAGAAAACTCAGAGTAATAACTTCTAATTAAGAGTCCAATCTTCAAAATAATGTGTATAATAGGAGTGTTTTTAGTTCAATTACAACATTAATGATTATATAGCACAGAGGCCTGACATTAATTATTAGAAACAGAGAAGAGATGTTTTCTTTCCCCAATGAACATTTGTATTTCCTCTTCAAGCTAAAGAGCACCGTAAATGATCTACTCTACAAACTGGGAACAAATTTGTTAGAATGCCTGTGGTCCTGGCAGAAAAATGTAAACGTTAAGTGGCTTGTGAGGGACAGGTGCAGGTAGCTCAGTGGTAGAACACTTGCCTAGCATGCGTGAGTTCTGGGTTTGACTGTCAACACTGCTCTCAAGCCCACCAAAAAAAAAAAAAGACCACCCTGAGAGGCTGAAAGTCAGTCCTTACTTAAAATATCAAACATCTCTGGAACCCCAATGGTATGAGTTAAAAAATATCTAAAATGCAACCACAGAATTGGGGAGGCTGGGAGAGGGTGTATGTCACATACAATCATACTAAATGCCTTCAGATTACATAGAAATGATTTTTGGCCAATGCTTAATAAGTATCATTAGTGGTCAAATAAAGTATTACCTCAGCTATAATTTCTTTTCAGTTTCAACTCCTTTCCATATGTGAAGAAAACACAATACCAGACCTCTTTATAAGGCAGGTATAAATAGCAGCTTAAATTATAGACATATGTGTACTGCTTCATAGTGCTATAACCTTAATGGTACTCTCACATGTTCATATCTGAGTGTATGTATATACTTACTGAAAATAGAAAACATTCTCTGAATTAGTGCAAAAAAAGAAAAATTTTCCTAGCACAATTCATCAAAATAGACAAAACCACTAAGCATACTTAGGGGGGAAAATGTTGAATAAATAACAATATATCTAAATACAAATTTTATACCTGTTTGCAATGAGATCTTTGCTTAATGACATATAAACAGATGTTCAGGAAATTCCACACATTCCTTTATCATATTTTGTCTTTTGTTTAGACAATGCTTTTGGAAGACAATAGAAACTTTTTTCCCCAGATACAGAACTCAAGTTTTATGTCTTTGTTTTTGCTAGTGCTCTCTTAGCTTGGAAAATTGTTAAGTGAATATTTACTTTTCTAAAACAAAGTATCCTTAATGGGGTATTGTTCAAAGCTGATCTTACTTAAAATCTACTCACATTGTAGGCATCAATGATCAACTGAATTACATTGCTAGAATTACCAGATAATGTTCCCACTGCTGACTTAGGGATCAAATTTTTTAGTTCCTGCGATGGAAAGATAAAACATGCAAAATATCAGTATTACTTAAACTATTTAAAAAATCTATTAAACAAGTAATATTTATCTTGAAATAACATTTCCTATTAAGTAGCTTCAGGTATCAAATCTTGAAAAAGGTAACTAGCTTCACAGTTTGTGACTAAAATTGGATTAAATTCCTTTTGTTAAATTCAGTCTGCCTACATAGTGGTCTTCAATGAAGACATAATTATGCCTCAAATTTTGCTAAACAAAAATGAACAAAAACAAAAGAACTTTTTATCTCAATTATATTTACCTTATAAACAGGTTGAAATTCTTCAGTAACTGCAAAAATTGTCTGAATATTATTTTCGCTGAGTTTCTGGACAAGGTGAGCAATAGACGGATAATCCTAAGGGGAGAAGCAATATGTTTTAGTATGTAAAAATATGCTTCTAATGTAGTTCACTTTTTCTTGTTTGTCTTTGCTGTTTTTGTGTGTGCAGCAAGCTATTTTGCTCAAGGCTAGCACTCTACCATTTGAGCCACAGCTTCATTTCCAGCTTTGTGTGGTTTATTGGAGTAAGAATCTCATGGACTTTGCTGCCCAGGCTGGCTTCAAACCATGATCCTCAGATCTTAGCCTCCTGAACACCTAGGATTAAAAGCATGAGCCTCTGGTGCCCACCTGTTATTGTGAGACAGTAAACCAGACTGGCTATAGCCTGTAATCCTCCTGTCACCTCCTGTATTTTGATTTTTCAGTATTTTTTGAACTATTTATAAACTTACATATATAACAGATTTCCTTGGGCAAGATGGCCTTCAAATAAGAATATCAAAAGCAAACAATTGCTAAGTTGGAAGTATGTATTTGAATTTCAAATCCTCTTCTCATACACATATATATGCACATAAATGTATGTCTGTATACATACAAATGTATATACACACACATATCCATCTTAATAGATCTTAAACAGTAATATAATCTATGGACTTTAAATGTAAGGACTGTGCTCACTTCAGCAGCACATATACTAAATGTGAGGACAATAAAATTAAAAGTTCTATAATTAAGTTATAATTAAAGCTCATATTAAAAGTTCTATTATCTATCACTTAAGGAAATAAAATGATTTGTATTGTTCTAGACCTTGAATAACTTCTAATATTTATTTTCAATAAAGACATGATGCCCACTTTTTAAAAGCCATATAAAATGTAAGTGTGTAAACCTAGGTAAATTGTTAAGAAGAATAATGCCAATGTGACTACCAGATGCTGCATGGTCAGTTAAATTGATTCAGGAATAAAGTGGCCCCTTACCCCCAGCAAAGCACTTGTCTAAGTGTGAGAAGTATCTCTTAGAGCCAGAGATTCCCCCCCTCTCAAGGTGAGAAGCCCCCCTTACAGCCAGGTAGGCCCCTGTCAAGCACAAGGAGTATGCACACTTTCACAAACAGCAATAAGAGACTTCCCTGGACATGGCGTTATGGACCATACTTGCTAGCATGACAAAACCTGAATCCCTGAAACCCTCACACAGCCCTTAGGATAAAACACAGATTCAAACTGCAACATTAACCTATTCACTTAGATAAGACCTTAGCACTTACATAGTAATGGCTCATTGTGTAGACATTATTTTCCAGATGACACCGTCCATCGTTTGGTAAAACAATGCCACCAAGCTTCCCATCACCAGCAAAGTGAAAGCCGGCATCCGTGGAAAACACCAGCAGCCGGGTGACGTTCCTCCAGCCAATCAGTGACTTCAAATGAAAGGATTTCAATTTTAAAATGCTGTCAATAACACCATCACCTGTTACTTTTCATACACACTATTATTATACTTTTCACCTGATTCTACTCTTTATCTTTTCTTTACACAATTCTCACAATCCTCTAATAAATGAAGATCCCACAGACTGAAGCTGCTCTATTCCACTGTTCGGCTTTCTTTCTAATTGTCTACATGGACATCTCAGCTCCTTTTAAAACTTGTTTTTCTAGTTTTACTCAGCAACAGAAGCCATGGTGCCCTGTCTATCTGTAGGTGGTATAGTATCTGTTGAGTATCTCAAGTTTACTTCTTCCTTCACTCTGCTTCAGGTCTTGTTCTCCACCACCCACCACCCATAAGCTTTTGCTAAGCTCTTATGCTCAACACTGACATTCTATCACTTGAGCCATACCTCCACTTTTAGTATTTTGTTAGTTAATTAGAGATAGGAAAAAGAAAAAAGCCGGAAGTGGCGCTGTGGCTCAAGTGGTAGAGCACTAGCCTTGAGCTGAAGAGCTGAGGGACAGCGCCCAGGCCCAGAGTTCAGGCCCCATGACCGGACCCCCCCCAAAAAAATAATAATAATAGAGATAGGAGTCACTCAATTATTTGTCTGTCTAGACTGGCTTTAAATTGTGATCCTCAGATCTCAGCCATGAGCCACTGGTGCTCAGCACATTTTTTTAATAGAAAGAATTATCAAACATTTATCCCAGCATAAATCAATCGAATCTAACCTATCAACCAGGACTTTTAGTTGTTATGTATTGTGTAATTGAATTTACAGAAATGGTAGAAGAATTTACAGAAGTGGTAAAATACTTTTTTCTATACATAATTGTATGTGTCTAAATGTAAATTGCCTTAATTCAACTGTTTATCTCCTCCTAACAATAAACTTTAAATTAGGCTTATTATTAATACTAATGGTCTTTCAAAAGTGGGTTATCTTTGTTAGCTCTAGAGAAGTAAAGCATGACAAATTGTCAAATGTAGTCTGATCACATGGAATAAGGCATGGATAAAGGCAGCCCAGAGGGTATTGTCCCCACAAAGTCCAAAGAAAAGAACTATTAGCCGAAGTACTACCTTGAATTCTACTCTTTCTTCAGCTTAAAAGCTGAAACCTGGGATTGCAAACATTATAGTGAAAACTCAAAAATAAAAGATAGTATTTATAATAAGTCAACTGCCCAGGATCAAGAAGAATAGGAAAATTCTTTTTTTTTAAATTGAGATTAGGTGATTACATAAATTTCACATATTTCACAGTATTGTGAGATAGTGATACTCAAAGTCACAAACACATTTTAACCTTCACAAGGCAAACAGTCATTATCATGGTCTTTATAAGTTTGTGACTTCTATGAGCTTTGACAATACAACTACTTCTTCCACATCAGGTGATAGTTACATTTCTTTCCTTTTGCTTAGTGTAAGCTGTTCCCTCTTTCCCTCTTATTCCTCCCTTCCCATCACTGTCTTTGCGTTGCTTAGTTCAATTTCAATGTCCAGTGCAGCTGATGGGCCCCTCTATTGTATGTTTTCCCGTTTCCCTCTGATTCTGTGTCCTCCTCCTACCACAGGAAAATTCTTAACTACCACATCTATAGCCATATTTTTACTAACTTTGATTAAATCGCATTTACAATCCACAAAAATGTAGGAAGTGAATTCACTTACTCCACACACAGCAACCTGCATGATGGCATCAAATCCACCCTCAGGAGAGTCCAAGTTTCCAGATATGCGCTGTTTCCCAACAAGCTTGTTAAATACCTCTCCTTTATCAGTGAGGCTGAGAACATTTTTGTAGCTAAATGGGCTAGTGCAGTTCTGTTCACTTGTGCAAGGATTCCTGAGCTTTGCTGGTGTTGTACTAATATAAGGCATCACAGTTTTCTCCACAAATGAGCCAAAACCTGGCAAGAAAAAAAGCGTAAGAATAGATCAATGTACAGATAAAACTCACATTTAAGGAAAAAAAATCTATGACATTACTGGCTGCATACTGAATGTCTCTATCCCCACTTCTAAAACAGTGCACATGCTAACAACCTGATGCACAATCTGATGCTCTCAGGAAATAAAGCAACTGGGAAGAGGTGAGATCATGACTGGAAAAGCATCAGGGTTCTGTGAGCTCCTTTTTTTTCTCCACCATATAAGAACGTAGCTAGAAGGCATCACCTATCCAACAAAAGGCAGAGAATGAATCTTGATCCTAAGTTTTCTCAGCTTCTAGAATAGTTGTCAATAAATTTCTGTTGTTTAAGTAAGTTACCTGTTCACAGTATTGTAATAGCCAAATAACGCTACCCAACATTTATACACAAATACACATAATGTTTCTGAGACAGGGTTTTACTATTTAACAATAGTAAAATCTAAAAAGCCCAGGGTGACGGCAAACTAAGATTCTCCTGCTTCAGCCTCCTGAACACTGAGATTATAGGAACATGCCAACCACATCCAGTCTGAGCCTACCCACTTTAAATAATAACTCACCTGCATTTTCTTAGCATGTAAGCGCCCAATAATGGCAGAATGCAATGATACACATTATGGTTTTCTTACTACTTTAAAAAAGACTAAGGCTAGAGTCATGGCTCAAGTCTAAGTTCAAACCCCCAAAACAACTTAGGGCTACCTATTTCCAAAGTCAATTATGTTCCTAAATAAAAGAATATTTTAAGCAAGAGTTATTTAAAATATGGCTGCTTGCTTTCTTGCCAAGACTCTGGTTTGAACTGAGGGCCTCATGTTTGCGTGGCTTGTTTGTTTAGCTGTCGCTGTAGCACCTGAGCCATGCCGCCAGCCTTGGTTTTTGCTGGTAATTACGGAGAAGGGGTTTCATGGATTTTTCTGCCCAGGCTGACTTTAAACATTGACTTTGGATCTCAGCCTCCTAAGGACTAAGATTACAGGTGTGAAACCTGGCACCTGGCTAAAATGCAGCAAAATGTTTAAAGGCCTACCCAAGTATATGAAATCCCTCCTGTGGGGAAATCTGTGGAGAACACAAGTAGCAAAGATGGCCCTGAGAGGAAGTTGAGTGGGCAGAGCCAGATTTGTTTAGGTTCAGTGTGTAAACAACTCATGGAAGTTTAGGTGCATGATAAGGTATGGCCTTTCAGTGATTGGTTGGTTCCATTTCCTCCCCTCCCATGCAGTCTTTTGCTTTAAAAAGGGGATGCTCCCTGTTAATAAACGAGTTCCTGCTTGACTTGACTTCCCGTTAGGTCTGATTGTCTCCTGGGCTAAGGGAGGCTGGGGAACGGGCTATCAGCCGCACTTACCTCTCCTCGGACCCCGTCCGTCCAAAGACAGACGAAGACCCAACACCCTCCAATATTTTAGAGGGCCAAAGCAGCAGCAAGCAGGAAAGAGGTTAGTTAGGCATACATGAGGTAGGAAATAGGGTTAAAGGGAAAAATCTTTCGCAGGGAATGATGAGGTACACCAGCAACCCCAGCACTTGAGAAGCTGAGGCCAGAGGATTTTGTGTTCAGGGTGAGCTACAGAGCAATATCCCATGTCAAAATACCAAAAACAAAACAAAACAAAACATATGTAGTGAATTAGAGTGTAGAGGCATACAAATTAGTAATGGTCATGCTAATTAATAATGAAATAGAACCTGGAGGTACTTGACACTGGTTTGTAAAATAAATAAGCAGAAGAATGGATTAATCCCTGTGACAATAATCATGCCCTTCTTTATTTGTGAGGCACAATCAGTGTCAAATTGCATAGCAGCACCCAGCAGCAGAGGAAAAGGAGACAGAAAGACTATTAGATATGACAGGAATATCAGTTTCCTCTCAGAAAGAAAACTGGTTTATATATCTCACAAATAGTTTGGAAGGGCAAAAGAAGAAAATACAAGAGAGTTTTGAGAAGTGCCAAGAAAAGTAGCTGGGCACTGGTGGCTCACGCCTGTAATCCTAGCTACTCAGGAAGCTGAGATCTGAGGATCGCGGTTCAAAGCCAGCCCAGGCAGGAAAGACTGTGAGACCCCCTATCTCCAATAAACCACCAGAAAACCGGAAGTGGCGCTGTAGTTCAAGTGGTAGAGTGCTCACCTTGAGCTAAAGAGCTGAGGGACAGTGCCCAGGCCCAGAGTTCAAGCCCCACGACCGACAAAAAAGAAAAGAAAAGAAAATCAAACACTCCTACCAATCCGGAAGTCTGAAGTGATCCTCCTCATTTCATTCATCAGATCTGTTCCAAGATTTTTTACATTCTCCAGATCATCTTTCATGGAGTAAGAAAGGTCCATAAGGTAGTAGAGATCAATGGGATAGTCTTCAGCCCTCTTGAATTTTAATGTAAATGTCTGTGGCTCCCCTAATTAAACAAATTAACAACTGAAATTAGCTTGCCAGCAAATCAATACATAGTAAACAATATAAAATGAAGATCATGTGTATATGTTTTGTAAAACATACTGGGAATCCTATAAATAACTCAGGTACGCCTTCAATTGTATTTAAAAAAGAAAAATCTTCTAACAGCCTTTAAGAAGACAAAGAGGACAAGGCTAACATCCCAACCGACAAGACAAGACATAAAGTCAATTCTGCTACAGTCTGGTTCTGGAATATGCCCTAAAAGTACCCGTGTTAAAGACTAGGTCCCCTGGTTGGCATGATCGGGGGTGTGGGAAATCAAGAGATGGGGCCTATAGGGAAGTTTCAAGTTACTTAAGATATAACCTCTACAAAGTATCATCTTCTCTCACTTCCCAAACTTAAGGTGCACAATGTATCCCATCAAGTCCTTTGATGATGTGCCTCCTGTCATGGCCCAAAAAAACAGAACCCACTCAATCCTGGACTGAAACTTCCAAAACCATGAGCCAACATACATACATATCATATAAAAGGGGTGTCAAGAACTTAAGAAATCTGGGTGCATTTCTGTACCTGATCGTAAATGCAGATCCAACTGCTGTGGTTGGATCTGCGTAATGTCTTCCGGCTGGAGCTTCTCTGCTGTTCCTTTGCTCCGGTTGGTGACATTTTTATTTTTCTTTATATTTTTGGAACCTCTGGGATTTTCTATGTCATCTGGATGGCATCCTTTCTTTTTTAAGGCTTCTAAATCATCACATCGTGCAGAAGTAGGCATTCCTTCTTGTAGAAACGTCTAAATGATACATAAAGTATCAGTATCATAAAGTGTAAAAATCAAATCTTTTTACATAATTCTAATTACAAACACACTAATTACAAAAGTCAAATTAATTCCAATATAATTAACAATTTTAAGGTATTCAGTCTTTGGCTTTTAAACATAATGTTCCACTTATTCAAACTGTAATACATGCTCTTATTTAAAAACAAGAAAAATCAATTCTAAGAAAAATACCTTTCCCAGAACTGTCCTAAATATCTACTTTAAATCTCTCACATTGAGGTTCAGAGTTATCTAATCTTTAACTATAACTAGTAATATGCATGTCCAAATAGCATATATGATTTTTTTTCTAAAAAAACTGCCCTCAGAAAAAAAATCCTTAAAAGTCTGGGAGCGTGCCAGGCACTGGTGGCTCACGCCTGTAATCCTAGCTACTCAGGAGGCTGAGAGCTGAGGATCGCGGTTCAAAGCCAGCCCGGGCAGGAGAGACCGTGAGACTCCTATCTCCCATAAACCACCAGAAAACTGGAAGTGGCGCTGTAGCTCAAGTGGTAGAGCGCTTGCCTTGAGCTGAAGAGCTGAGGGACAGCGCCCAAGCCCATAGTTCAAGCCCCATGACAGACAAAAAAAAGTCTGGGAGCGTGGCCCAAGTGGTAGAGCATCTGCCTACTAGCAAGCACAAGTTCAAGCATCAGTACTGTCTATATATAAGTCTGTTGTGCTACACAGCACACTCCCTCATAATATTTTGAGCATTATCAATGTTTAGGAAAAGCATATTAGACTAAATGCATCTCAATTAATGGTGGCATTTTTTAAAGAAATCTAGCACACAAAAAATGTAAATCTTTGCTACTATTGTAAGAAAAAAAAGGTTTTTAAATGTTATCTTAAAATTGTTATCATCTTAGTACATACTGTGGCACAGAATTCCCATTAATGGCCTACATTTGTAATGTGTTACATATACTTCAAACACTCTAGAAATAAAAATTTTACACAACTGATCATAGGAAAGACAAATATATTTCTGTTAATAGATATAAAAAATCTTAAATAAAAGCAGTTCATGAAATGTGGGATTGCACAAAGAACATGGTGACATTGTTTATTCTCACCAATTTCTTGGTATTATGTGATATAGCAGTGAGGGTAAACAGTATTTAAAGAATACTCAATGGCTTTTATAAATTATTTTCTAAGGCAAATGCAATAGTAACATGAGCATCTGTACATTAGACAAACAACTAGAAAAAAAAAGCCCAGGGCCAGATGGATCAAAATTGCACTACTTTCATTTAATAACAAGGTTATAAATGCTACCAAAGCATAAGATTCTACCAGATTAAACATTACCAAATAAGGGCCAATTTAGGAAACTTTAGAATATCCAGAGGAGTTGGACACTGGTGGCTCATGCCTATAATTCCAGCTACTCAAGAAAGCTAAGATCTGATCATGACAGTCAGTAGCTAGCCTGGTCAGACAAAAGCAAAATATTTTATATAAAGAGCCAAAATTAGAGGTATGTCTCAAGTGGCACAACACTGGTTTGAGTGAAAAAGACAAGATAGTTCAAGGCCCTGGGTTCAAGCCCATACAGAAACACACAAACAGGAAAAAAAAAAGAATATAAAAATTTGACTGAACATATTCCAAAAGAGCTTTTAATAATTAAGGAATTAGGTCCCAAAACTCAAAAGGCTCAATTTTTTAAGAGCAACTGGCCACACAGCCTCTAATTACAGATCAACTATAGCCTCTATAAAACGGATGTTGATGAGTAGCTACCACTTATTTAAGCCTTCTACATGAAACTACCTTACTAAAGTTCACCAATTCTATTCAAAACAGATCATACAAAAATTATAATCCTCACTTTCCAGAGAAAATAGCCTAAGACAAATCTACAGCACTCCTATCCTCTCCACTACTTCCAACTTAAACTCAATATACCATTTTTTGTAGAACAGAAAGAGTCATAAGAAATAAAATGCTCTCATTTTTATCTTTCAGATGGTCCAACCATCTGCTACCTCCTCACTTATGTTAAAGATAGGCATGTGCAATATGGGCCCATATGCCTGAGTGAGACATAATCTTCACTGCTTCTTGCATTAGCTTGTGAGTTAATTATGACCTCAAAATGACTCAGTTCCTGTTGTAAGTACCCATTCATCTACTCATTGAAAACTTAGTCTGCTATAGGACACGAGAGACAAAGTATAGAAGTTCTACTTTCCTAAAGAAAACAAAAACTTAGGCTGGGAATGTGGCTTAGTGGTAGAGTGCTTGCCTAGCATGTATGAAGACCCCTGGGTTCAATTCCTCAGTACCACATACAGAGAAAAAGCCAGAAGTGATGCTGTGGCTCAAGTGCTTGAGCAAAAGAAGCTCAGGGACAGTGCCTAGGCCTAGAGTTCAAGCCCCACGACTGGGAAGAAAGGGGGTGGGGGGAAGGCAGGGAGGGAGGTAGAGAAAGAGAGAGAGAGAGAGAAAGAAAAGAAGGAAGGAAGGAAGAAAGGAAGGAAGGAAGGAAGGAAGGAAGGAAGGAAGGAAGGATGGAAGAGAGCAAGCAAGCAAGCAAGCAAGCTCACTCCTAGGGAGGGGAGGGGAGGAAAGGAGGGAGGGAGAGGGAGGGAGGGAGGGAGGGAGGGAGAGAAAGAAGGAAGGAAGGGCAAAAACTTGAGTAAGAGGGCTGGGAAGGTGGCTCAGTGGTAAAGAGCTTGCCTTGCATGCATGAGGCCCTGGGTTCGATTCCTCAGCACCACATAAGCAGAAAAAAAAACACCTGGAAGTGGCCTTGTGGCTCAAGTGATAGAGCGCTAGCCTTGAGCTGAAGAGCTGAGGGACAGCGCCCAGGCCCAGAGTTCAGGCCCAAGACCGGACCAAAAAAAAACAAAAACAAAACTTGAGTAAGAGTAAAATTTGAATGCTAACTTCAATGGGTTTTTACTGGAATAGAAGTCAACTCTGTAAGAGGTAGGGGTGTGTGTGTGTGTGTGTGTGTGTGATTTTAAAATTTAATTTAACATCCCCCTCCCCCATCAAAAAGAATGGGAAAGTCTAAAATAAACTAAATGTCTAGTTTTCCCTAGAAATGAGGTAAGCTACACATGCAGGTAGTTTTCAATTATCTAGCAGCCATGCTAGGAGGGGAAGGGAGAAGAGGGACCAGGACCTAGTAGGTAGGAGGCCCTAGGTTTGATCTCTTGCACTACAGACCTAGAAGGAGGGAGAAGAGAAGATATAGAAGGGGAGAAAGTTGGAGGCAGACTTGGGGGTATATACCTGTAAAAATCTTAGTATTTAGGAGGCTAAGACAGGAAGATCATTACACAACAAAACCCTGTTTCCAAATTTTAAAAAAGTAAAAGCAAAAACAGAAAATAGCAACATTCACAAAATATTTACATAAATTTACTATCATGTAAACGTTTTCTTTTAATATTTAAGTTTTCAAAATCTTCACGTAGGGCTGGGAAAGTGGCTCAGTGGTAGAGCGCTTGCCTTGCATGCATGAAGCCCTGGGTTCAATTCTTCAGCACTACATAAGCAAAAAGAAAAAAGCCAGAAGTGGCGCTGTGGCTCAAGTGATAGAGCACTTGCCTTGAGGTGAAGAGCTGAGGGACAGCGCCCAGGCCCAGAGTTCAGGCCCCACAACCGGACCCAAAACAAAAAAAAATCTTCACCTATTTGAGACTTAGGAGACTCTTAATTTCTAACACTCATATTTTAAGGGTTCAACAGCCATGCTGGCCACTGTGATTAATAGCATAGTTCTAGACTGGAGTATCTTGGTCTATAAACAAACACTGATTTAAGTAAAACTTCATATCTAGTCTTCCCAAGGATACAGCAATGGGCCACATTCAATAATTAAAGAACAGAATGAATGAAAACAATTTTACTTACTGAATTTGTGCACCATCCACAATTTGGCCCTGCTTGTATACATTCTCCACATGACTTGGCATTTGCTTTTAAACATCTATTTTTATCTGATAGAAAAAAGAAAGATCACTTTACTTGAACTTTCACCAAAAAAAAAAAAGAAGAAAATTTTAAAATTGGGATCACATTGGCAAATAACACAATACATGGAAGCTAAATATAAACAGTCTAACCTAGTTAATCAAGCTAAACTAGACCTACCTCAGAGGGACCTTAATGATTTCAAATAACCTTGATTTTGAATCACTTTGAAAAGTTATAAAGGGACAGTTGTCCTATCTTTTGTATTAATGACTAGGTACTATTGGTACACACTTGATACTCTGTATTTTTCAACGGTATAATGTCACAATCTATCATTGCAAAAGGCTATACAAATCAGAGTTTAACTACAACTGAGCAAAATAGTTTCTTTTTACATTACTCATGATACCATATCTATATTGGTTTACATTAGATTTTTGCACATACTGAAGAAATTATATTCTGCTTAGTTTCTTACCTTGTTTGTGGTATTCTGATACTGATACTGGGTTGTTCAAATTTATTAAGAATTCCATTTACTGTTTCTTCCTTCACTTCTGCATGTACTAATCCCCCCATGCTCAGCACACTTAATTCTAATTAAGTATACTTTTTGAGATGTGGAAAGAACTGAGTACCCGTGATTCCACATGTGGATACACCATAGTTTACAGAGATTTCTGGCTTTATTCTCATTGCTCTTCCACATGTGCCAACATTTCACAATTTGCAAAGAGTTTTTGATTAAAGAGCAAGAACATCTTCTAAAAAGTGAATTGCTCCTGGGTTGTATTTATACAACAACAGACAATTCATAATCCACAACTTCACATTTACTTTAGTCGCTAATAAACATATTTCATGCTATCACCTTCCCTCTACTCGCTTCAATTCTTTATAATTCTCAAAAATCTTTGTGTATAGTCTATTCTACACAAATCCCTCTGTATTTCACTATCCTCATTTTAGACAGCAGGGATGGGGGAAGTCAGAGCACAGGCTTCATTATCCTCTTGGGAGGAGGATACTTTCCACCTGGGATCAGATAGTGGTACTGCAGGGCTTTCAGAAGAAGCAAAACCAACTGATTTACCATTTTCCAGGAACCTAACTTAACCAAGAGTAATATAAGATACTGAAGAAAAAGGAAAGAGAAATTGGGAAAATATTCTTTTTTACCTGTTTGGCCAAACACACAGCAAGCTGAACTGATCAGTCCAATCCAAACAATAAATTGTAAATTCATCTGAAATAGAAAATGTGCATCATTATAAGGAAATAAAATAAAAAGATGCTCTGCACAATTTACTTCCTGTTGATATTATAAATGTAATACATCTCAAACCATTTTTCTACAAATCTTGCTGTTCTTCCCCAGTAGGCTATCTTTCATGCAAGTAAGTTCCAAGCCAGAGCCTCAGAATCCATTCTTGCCATTCTCAAAATCAAATGGTTTCCACATGTAGTAAAATGTCAAAAGTATTAATTTAATGAGCTCCAAAGAATGTCAGTATCAAGTACTCTCCCAATACAAGAAAGTTATCTTTAAATCCAATCCAGATGTGCTGGTACATGTTTGTGGTCCCTGCTACCTGGATGATGGGGAATTACAAAGGCCCTAGTTTGAAAAATGAACTAAAAAGCAAAAGGACTAGGGGGAAGGAGGAAGGTGGCTCAAGAGGAGAGAGTATGTATCTGAGTTTAGTACCCACCAAGCTCAAATAAATAAAGTATGAGACTGCCAAGTGTCTTTCAAAATCTCTACAGAAAAAGTTAACACTCCATCTGTCAAACTTCCAGATATTAAGTATGAAACTATTTTCTCAGAATCAGTGTTTCCAGATTTTACAATTTATACCTTACCAAATTTGCTCAAGGACTGCTATGCAACAGACCGCTAACCCACTCTTTGGTATCTTGGATCAGTGCCTACAATCTCCACAATAACACTGAATATTTCTTTTAAAAATCTCTACCTCCGGAGGTGTACATCCTAAGAAGCTATTCAGTTGGTCAGGCAGAGCACTTTAAATTCTGTCAAAGTAACCCTGGGATCCTGTGCTTCCCCTGCTCAGTGCTGGCTTCCCAGAGACAAAGGCTAAGAATAATCTGCACAGTCATCCACAGGGCTCACACCAGTTCTGTGGTGCCTAAAGCTGACAGTTTTGTTATAGTTTACAGTGCCAGTTGCCCAGCGGTCAACCAAAGCTGTCTTAGCAATTCACCTTTCAAGGCCTACCTAAAAGATTCAATGCAGTAAATCCATAGAGTCTACAGTTCTAAGCAACTCAAATAATGCATTCCGTTCTGAAGGTTCTGACTAAAGGGAGGTGGAACATACAACTCCTGAGAAAAATAAAACTCATCATTGTGAGGAGTGGAGCTTCTGGAAAGCTTCCAAAGTGGATGGCATGAATATTTGTCCCATATAAGGACTGATACTTGTTTCTTCAGGCTACTTAGTAACCACTGGACTGCCTTGAGCAATCTTCCAAATCTTCTAATTTAGGAAAAAAGCTACTAGATAACAAAATGTTTTCAAATATTCAAAGGTTACCTGAATATAAAGCATAAAATAAGTGTGATGGACACTTTTTCCTTCTATAGATCTCAACAAGGCAAATAACAACCTTCTGAAACCCTACTCCTCTGGAAGAGTGCCAAGCCCAGGAGCAAGCAAAACAAGACTCCAATGTTAAAGAACAGCTGAGCGCACAGGGATGGTTCTGGAAACAGCTTAAGGACAGCCCTCAACTCTCCAGTGACTACTAAGCACACTAGCAACAAAGAGGCTGTTGCTGGCTGGTGGTGTTTGTAAATGGCCAGGTTTCAGGAATATGAAGAAGCAAAAAAGATGACAGCAGTTAAGAATAAAGAAGAAATCTAGGGACAGTGATGATGACAGTGATTAAGTATAAAGAAGGTGGCTCAAGCCTGTAAGCCTAGCTACTTGGGAGGCAGAGATGGAGGATCATAGTTTAAGGACAGCCTGGGCAAAAAGAAATTAACAAGACTCCATCTCAACCAGTGGCTGGGTTCAGTGGTGTTGGTCTATACCTATAATCCCAGCTACAAGAGAAGTATAATGATGGAGCACAGTGAATACTGTTCTCCCTAGCAACACAGCAAAACACAATGAGAAGGATCACAGTCCACAGATCCTATCTCAAAAATAACCAACACAAAAAGAAGCTGTGGGTGTGTCTCAAGTGGTAGTGAACCTGCATCTCAAGTACAAGGTCCTACGGTGAATTTCCAATACTGCCAAAAAAGGGGGGAAAAAGTTGACTCCCTACCTTAAAAACATCTAAAGCAAAGCAGTAGCTACAAGTCTGTCTCAAATGGTAAAGCATCTATCTGGTAAGCATGAGGCCAAGTCCAAAGCTCAGGGAAGGATGGGTGCAAAGGAGGCTACAAAGAAGCGAAGGGAAGGTTTAGAACCCCTTTGCACTATATTTTCACAATAAAAAACCTAATTTAAAAAAAAGAGTTGCCATTTAACAAAGCAGTTTATGAATACAATGCATCTTGAGAATTCTTTACTACCAAAGAATTTACAAAAGCAGTATTTAACACACTCTATCCTTCCTAAGGCCCTTTCCAACCCTGGACTTCACTCTAAGTCTGTGGAGCTTCATCCAGACAACTAGGTCACAATCTGTGCCTTACTAGTAAATACAAACATGGCTCTTGAAGGAACTTTTTAATTCAAAAACAAAAATACAGATAATCGCCAGGGTCAGTAGCTTATATCAGTAATTGTAGCTACTCAGGAGGCTGAGATCTGAGGATCAGAGCTCAGGCAGGCAGGAAAGTAAATCTCCAATGAACTACCCAAAAAGAAACAACAGGTGGAGCTGTGGCTTAACTGATAAGGAACTAGCCTTGAAAAACAAAAGAACAAAAAACTCAGGGACAGCACCAAGGCCTAGGACCTGAGGTCAAGCCCCAATAATGGCACAAAAATATAAAAAGAAAAGAAAAAGATTATCATGTAATTACAATATGATGTGTACATCATATTGTAACAGAACACAGTGCAAAAAGGGCATAAAAATCAGGGCTGTCAAGAGCTTCTCAGAGACAGCAAAATACCAGCCAGAAATGGAGACAGGCAGGAAGGCAAGTAAGAGAAGATACTCCATGTCTAGGCCTACATATGCAAACATGGAACACTGAGAGAAGTTATAAAACTTCTTTCTAATCCTGCATCTAAATATACACGTCCGGTGCATCCTCCACATACATCTACAGTTGGAATTCTTGATCTCATGTTTCCTCTCTTTTCAGAGAAAAAGACTAGGAGAAAAAGTATGTTTTGTAGCTGTAAGTTGTTGGTGAGATGAGTTGTTTCATCCTAATAAGTGTCTATTATAAATATATTTTAAGTCAGTAAAAAAAAGTATCTAAAATAATTTCTGAGGGGGCTGGGAAGGTGGCTCAGGGGTAGAGCGCTTGCCTTGCATGCATGAGGCCCTAGGTTCGATTCCTCAGCACCACATAAGCAAAGAAAAAAAAGCCGGAAGTGGCGCTGTGGCTCAAGTGGTAGAGCACTAGCCTTGAGCTGAAGAGCTGAGGGACAGTGACCAGGCCCAGAGTTCAGGCCCCACAACCGGACCCAAAAAAATAATAATAAAAATTTCTGAGAATTAAATAATGGAAATAATAGGACCCAACAGTAGGCAGGCAGGAGAGGCTAGATTACAGAGACTTTAGGTGCTATTTCAGTTTAAGGAATTCAAATACTATCCTACAAATTTAAAGGAAGCAGATAAAAATTGGAGTAGGATAAGATGGCACACATACATAACAAGAAATTAGAGGGAGCCAGGCACCAGTGGTTCACACCTGTAATCCTAACTACTCAGGAGGTTGAGATCTAATGATCATGGTTCAAAGCCATCCCAGGCAGAAAAGTTGGTGAGACTCTTACCTCCAATAAGCTAGTCAGAAAGAAAAAGCCAGAAGTGGTGTTGTGGCACAAGCACTAGGGCGCTAGCCTTGAGCACAAAGAGACTCAGGGACAGCACCCAGGCCCTGAGTTCAAGCCCCAGGACCTTAAAAAAAAAATTGGAGATAGAAGCTTAAAAGGCAATCATCACACTGAGGAAGATTGTTCATTCAAAGTCAGCTTGGGCAGGACCCTATCTCAAAAAAAAGGGGGGGGAGGGGGAAGTGAGGAGGTGAAAGGGAAAGGGAAGGGGGAGGGAAAGAGGAGGGAAGGGGGAGAGAAGGGGGAGGGAAGGGGAGGGAAGGGGAGGGAAGGGGGAGGAGAATGGGAAGGAAGGGGGAGGAGAAGGGGAGGAGGAGGAAGGAAGAGGAAGAGGGGAAAAGGAGGAGGGGATAGAAGGGGGAAAAGGATAGGGAAGGAGAAGAGGAGAAAAGGAAGAGCAAAGGGAAGAGAAAAAGGGACCAGCCACATAAGTGGCTTGTGCCTATAATCCAGGCTGCTCAGAAGGCAAGGATCCAGGGGATTGCAAGTGACATGTCATCATTTATGCAATTTAAAAATAACAAATATGTAAGTGATTAGAAGAGACAGGTACCTGGCCTTATATACTTGCTTGGATGAGGAAGAGTGGGGGAAAAAACTAGAATGTTTAAGTAAAAAAGTCAAGGGGGGAGGGGCGGGGTTGGTGGACCACTTGATTGGCATGTGCAAGAGGGTGTGTCCTTCCTAGGAGCCTCCTAGACAAAAATGTCCTAAAAAGGGAATGGTGATAGGGAAGGAAATGATACATTTTGTTTTAGAAATGTGAAATGGCTGCTTCAAGTCTGGAACAGACACCTGCCCCAGGTGAAGACATATGGATTTCAGGCAAAAGGTCAGGTTTACAGACACAGAAATGACATCATCTAGATTGTAACTGAAATTATGACAGCAAATAAAATTGTGAAGAAAAAGAATATTTAACAAGTAGCCAGGCACCAATGGCACATACCTGTAATTCTAGCTACTCAGGAAGCTGAGATATGAGAATTGTAGTTAGATGCCAACTTGGGCAGCAAAGTCCTTGAGCCTCTTTTCTCCAATCAGCCAGCAAAAAGCCAGAAGTATAGGTGTGTCTCCATTGGCAGAGTAAGCAAAAAGGCTCAGGGACAGTACCTAGGCCCTGAGTTCCAACCCTAGGACTGGCACCAAAACACACACATACAGGAAGAAAGAAGAGCTGACAGCAGACTTAAAAAGTTGAATGGGGGCTGGGCAGGTGGCTCAGTGGTAGAGCACTTGCCTTGCATGCATGAGG